CTAGTTAAAAAAATCGTTCTTGGTTTTGATGTAAAGAAAGCACTAAGTTGAATTCGAAACATCAATGAGAAGGACATCCTACAATTCCGAGATGAATGCAGAACTTTTTTGAAGTCCATAGTCATCAAACTGCTTGTCAGATCCCCGTTGACGTATTCTCTTACTAGACCATGTTCATCGGTCGATCCTACAACTATTGCTTTGGACAAAACTGTTGCAGAGCGGTGAATGGAAAAGATGCTAAGCATCCTTACAATCCCCTGTAAGGTAAGTGGTGTTTTTGCAGATGTGGAAAACCGACAGTTTCGTACAGTGATCTGTCAAAGTAGGGTAATTGATTCTGGTTGGACCTATCCAAAAACTGATGATGGTTGGACCTATTTTTTCAATCGCTAGTTTAGTCAATCTTCGCTAATTTTTTTTCAAAGATCACTATACTATCATAAAAAAAAACTCTTTTTCTTCAATTTGCATGGGTGTTTTATTGAAAAAACTTCAAAACAATTGAATTTCAATGTGTTTTCAAAACAGTTCACTTTCCATGCATTAGCTCGTCATCATGCCTTACTTTCAAACATACAAAAAAGGAATATTTTTTACATTTATTTTTATTTTCATGCAGTAAAATACTGCTTTAAGGTGTAAACAACACGTTAGTACCCCATTTATCCATTGGTTTCACTAAAATGTTTGAATAATTGACGAAATTCGAATAGATAAATATGATCATGGTTGGACCTACGCATGATGATGGTTGGTCCTATGTGTTTCCTAAGACGGCCGCTAGGTGCGCTTTGGTTTGTCTACATCCTTCATGCGCAGCTGATTTGAAATTCGATTTCGTTTTGGTCGAGTGGTCAGTTTCTTCGATTGAAAAAATGGTTAAAGAAAAGAGTTATACGGTCCAAAATCTTCAAGAGGCTGTTCTTTTAGTAAGAAATAAATCACTTACCGCGTATCAGGCACAGAAAAGGTACAATATTCCAAAAACGACACTTCACGCAAAAATTAAGGGAAGCCACGGCAAGAAATATGAAAGGGAAATAGTGTTTAGTGTTGATTTAGAGAACCAGCTAGCGGATTGGGATTGTATGTGCACTGCTTCTGGCAGTCTCAAGACGGCCAAACAGATCTTGGAAGCTGCTAAAGACCTTGCGTCACTAGTTGGGCGTAAATTTAAAGAAAGAATTCCAAACTACCACGAAAGCGCCGAAAGAATCTGTTAATATGAATTTACATTAAGCACTTCTCGTACTACTTCTATGTGTGAATTAACTTGAAATAAAATGTTAACAAACTAAAAATTGATAACTGAAACTTATTTCCGAAAAAAAACTTCTAGGAGAAAAAGAACTATAAAACCGGAATTAAGTTCTGATATTCTGTCATTTTAAGCCCCTAAATTCCCCGGGGGCACGCAGAACATGCCCGAAAGTGGCCAATGTGATCCAAGGCACTCAATTTTGTTATTGATCTTCTAATCGAATTTGGAAGCAATGTATAGTGTCGCATGATAGGTTTTATTCCTTCCATGTCAAAATTAGATCCATGTTCCATATACCCTGGAACTTGTTCCGGCCATATCTCCGGAACCAGTTGACCGATTCAAAAAATATTCGATAGCTTTCAATGGGACCACAATACCTATAGTTTGACGTTAAAATTTTTCCAAATCGTGTCAATGATTTCCGAGAAAATGAGCCATGATGAATAGCTAATGCGTGAAAAGTGACCTTTTTTAAAAACGAAGTTAAACTCAAATTTCTTGATTTTTTTAAATAGCAAATTCATAAAAGCTGTATAAAAAGGGTTTTTTCATGATACGGATAAGCTCTAAACAAAGTTTTTGAAGAAATATGGGCTAAACTAGCATTTGCAAAAATAGGTCCAATCATCATCATTTCTTAGGTCCAACCAAGATCAGTATAGGTCCAACCATCATCATAATTCTTTGCTGAATAAAAACGTTTTATAAAATCATTTGTTCATAATATTTAACTTTTTATGTTATTATTAGAAACAAGAAAGGTAGATCTTTCCCCTAACCACGCATTTTTTTATAATTATATGTTGAATTCATAAAAAAAAAATACGACATGAATGTTGACGTCGAGTGAAACCGGCCTAAATAGGTCCAACCATCATCAGTTACCCTAGTATCTTTAAAAACTACAACAGAAAAAAAACTCGAGTGGATGTATTTTGGCGTGATTTGCTGAAAGATGCCATTATGGAGCTGCTCAGGATTGTTCAAATGGTTTGCTGCTTATCACACGGAAATTCTAATGTTGAACGAGAGTTTCCCATCAATTAAGAATGCCTTTTCGAGAAAATGAAGGAAGAGTCTGTTTTCGTACGCAGACAGGTGTACGATGCGGTTTGTGAGAAAGCAGGCATTGAGAAAGTGGAGATATCAAAAGCTCTGATTTTAAGAGCAAGAAATGCACATTCGTTGTTTGTGGAGGATAAAGAGCGTCGAAAGAAGGAGGCATTGGCTGGACAACAAGCATCTATGCAGAAGAGGAAGGGGGAAGCCGAAGCCAAGGCATTACGAGCTAAACGTGCAAAGATCTTGGAGGACGCTCAGCGAGAAGCACAACAACTTGAAGAAGAAATTCATCTACTGAAGAAATAATGAATGTAATGTGGTTTTCGTGTAATAAAATTGGTTTGTTACTGACGTTTCCTCAATTATTTGCATAATTAAGGAACAAGACTTAATCTCGTTATTTGGGGGAAACTTGGGAAACTATTTTTCACCATAACCATCTCAAATTGTCTACCATATTTAACTGTGCCTTCTAAAAATCTCATTAATAAAAATTGAAAAAGTCTTCTATATGGCTTAATTATTCCTGCAGAAACTGATTCTTAGTATCAATTAATTGCGATATAATGGAGATGATAGTCTTAAGTGTATGTTTGTAATCTGGAATTTTTTTACAAAACCTGGAAAATACCTGGAAAAATCAGGGAATTTCAAAATTGTGAATGAGTCGACACCCTGAGTAAGAAACTGACTAGGCACAAACCATTTCAAGTTTATATGGGAATTACTATGGGAAAACTTAAGTTTTTATTCATATCTATCTTACAATTCACCACATCACTATGCATTTAAATATGATAAATGAGCTTGCTGAAAATTTTCCCAATTACAACTTTGTTGAAGACCACTTTTCGATCAAATGTAAGGAACAAAAGTTATTAATGGTTCAAGTCACTGATGTCTTATGATTATGCTCAATCAACTGTTCAGTAGGCAACATTGGTGTTTCTGGCGCTTGGAATAGAGCACAAAAATCATGGCTACTATGTCACACTGCAGAATACAGTGTTGCTCACAAAACAGCTGCTTGATCATGCCATAAGATTATCAATCTCTTAAACAATTAATAACAATTTAATTTGACATTTGGCTGAAAAACGATATTGGGCAAAGTTGTAGCTTAGAAAATTTCCCCTAAGAATAGTTTTAGAAATTTTCGAAAAAGCAATATGGAAAATGGGTAGAAGACAATGAACAAAAAGTTTGGTTTTCCCATAGTAATTTTCATACAAACTTCGAATAGTTTGTGCCAAGTCAGTTTCTTACCAAATGAGTTTAAATTTTGGAAGGCTAATCAGCACCTGATTTGAAACCGTTTGAGCACTGTGGAGCGAAAATTTCAAATTTTGCATCAGTCTAATGGACAACTTTGCAAGAAGGAGTGTCTCCAGAACATAATTTTGCCGTTCATTCAATCACACGAAGGTACCGTAAAGTTCTGGCCTGACTTAGCCAGCTGCCATTACAGCCGCGATGTCATGGAATGGTATAAGCAGAATAATGTCGATTTTATTGAGAAAAGTACCCATCCACCAAATTGTCCAGATTTTCGTCCCATTGAAAAATTTTGGGCAATTATCAAGCGTAAATTGAAGAAATGTGGCAAAACAATCAAAACACCAACTGATTTGGAGAAGTGGTGGAAAAGGATGGTAGATGAGGTTGGCAGTACTACTGTGCAAGACATGATGTGAGGTATTCCGCGAAAAGTTCGAAAATTCATCCGAAAAGCTGACGAATAATTTTTATTGTATTTTTTCCTTAAAGCTAAATAAAAATCCTACAAAATTCTACCTTTAGCGTTTTTGTACTTTATTTTCCCTTGGAGAAATGACCTATTTTGTGCGGTCAAATTCTAAATGGAACAGACTTTATTTATAAAAAGAGCGTCTCCTACCATTTTCGCTCGCAACGGTTTATATAAAGGTAAAGAAAACGGCATCTCCTATCGTTTAATTCACGTACCTACTCCCACTGTACAGTCAACTCAATTCATAAGGACCGCGAGTAATCGGTTCAATTCCTTTAACTCTAGATTTAAGTAAGAACATTAGTTATGTAAAACGCAAATGATAACTTGGCTCTGTAAAGTTTATTCGATTGAGCCTGTACCAATAAATTAATACAAAAGAAAAAAAATCAATTCATAAGATGTCCATTCAATCCCCACCAGCCCTGCCTACAGCTTCCAAACCCAAATTGAATCCGTATACTCAAAACTTGGAAATCGGAACGTTCCAAAATCCAACCTTCCGCTGTACCGAGCGTCCATTGTCTGTTTACAAATATTTCATCGCGTACGCATTCGAATTTCGTTCTCTCATTCGCATTTCCCAGAATCATCACATCACACTAAATAACATTTCAGCCACCCACCGCCCTACGACGGTTGCTTTTCTTTTCTCTGAACTACCACCCAATCATCCAACCCCTCCCCTCGCCACTTTTTCCTTTCGCTCATCTCTATGTACGCTTCAAAAGTGTGTTTGTGTGTGTGTGGGGAACAAGCAAAATTCAAAAACATATCTTCAAGCGGGGCAGGAAAAATCGATATGACTACCCCCTACACCTCCCGCTCCCCCGTCTACGCTCCACCACTAGGATACTGCTATTCGTGATGAATTTCGAGCTAACCTTCGTTTTGTTTTGTTTCTTCTTCTTTTTCCCACAGAAAATCAACAACAAAAACAATGAAGACGCTGCTAAACGCGATGACGACAACTCACCGGGATGACCTAATGCGAATGGTGGTAATAATAGCATCATCATCATCATCATCGTCGTCGGTGGTAGGTTCTACTTCGTGCAAGGTCAACTAAATCAACCCCTTTTCGGGCTTCGGTCGTCGTCGTCGTCGTGGTTGAAGAACTAGAAGAAGCATTTTGCATCAGATCAGTGAGAAGGGAGAGGAGATCTCTACGTCGCAATTTTCAGTGCTTGTGCAGTGGTGCTGTAACGGTATGCAACCGTTTCCTCATCTGTGAGGGGGTGGCTGTTCGTTGAGTTTTGAGGAAATCGACCCAGCAGGAGAGCGAGAAATACAGAGAACTTCATCCCCCGATTTGCAAGTCGAATCAGGAGAGCGGAGCACGTGAGAACATTTTTCGTGAGCGGGACTGTGTGTGTGTGTTTGTGTGTTCGTGCATACTGCATTCGGTGCAATTGCGCGCAGTGTAGAAACTAGGCAAGTGCATTACCGTCTCGTTTTCCGTCCTTATTCCTTCCCCGCCCCCCGAAAGGGTTGGCCGAGCCAAAATGCTCTCCTATATGCTACCAGTTGAGGAAAAATCGCCCTCAGTGACGGCGGCCAGTGCTGCTGCTGCGGCGCGAAATCTAAGTTTGAATCTGAATAATACTACCACCGGAGGCGGTGCTGGCAATCCCGGAACGAATTCGTCGTCGGTTGTGATTCCGGGCGGTTCCGGCAAGTCGTTGCATAAGTGCTCCACGGGGCGTCCGTCGTCCGGGACAACCGTCACGGGAAAGGTAATCAAATCGGCCATCAAAACAAACCATCGCTACAACCTGGTACCGTCGACGGTGGAGGAAAACGGGAAGGCCAAGAAGTTTATAGTCAAACAGCAGCAGCGCAACGGAGAAGAAAGTGCCCGAGGTGGAGGGGGTGGTGCAATTCATAACGGTGGCGGTGAAGATTTGAGTGTTGATGAGCATACCAGTCTGCTCGGCGGGGGTTCCAAGAGTGTTAAGAGTGATAAAAATTTCAACAATCTGATCCTGGTCAACGGAAACGGCAATGTCAATGGGAAGCTCGTGAGTGTGTTGAAGAATTCCTCCCTGAAGAATGGTGGTGGTGGATTGAATGGTGGTGACCATGGTAGCAACGGCGGTGATTCCCACCACAGGGTGGTCACCAGCCACAATGGCTACAGTGCGGTAAATAGCTATGAAGATGACGAAGAAAACGAAGACGAAGAAAAAGCCGATACGGAAGCAGAATACGATTTGGTTGCGGCGAATAATCGCAAGAATATTCACCACCAGCAACAGCAAACGATCAACGACGGTGCCAAAATGAGCACCAGCGTTAGTGTTACGAAGAATTTGAACGGAATCAACGGCAACAACAATAATCTTCAGCAGCAGCAGCAGCAGCAGCATCAGCAGCAACCGCCGCAGCAGCAATCTTCGGTGGAAACGCCGAGCAGCGGCATCATTGTGGACACAAGCGATGCCGACTCGGAACAGACCGCCGCCAGTGGTTGCGGCGGTGATGGGTCCGGCGGTGGCAAGAAGGTCAAGATGAACAAACTCGGCGGCAGCAAGAATGTGACACTCAAGAGGTAAGTCCTTGGGGTTGGTCTTGTTCTTTTTTTTTTTTACTTGGCGTTGGACTGTTGCCAGGTGGATTTTCCTCCGTTTGGATCATCGATGTTCGAGGCCTTTCGAGCGTCGATTTAGTAGGTCGAAAAGTGGTGCTTATTTATAGCACCGTGTTGAGTTTCGAAGGGAGAAAATGGGACACTAATCGAAACTGTGAAGGATGGCAGCATGGCGAGAAAGAAGTATTTAATCCATTGCAAAAACTGTTCCTGTGAGTATTGAAAACAGTATTGAGTATTGAGCAAAGAACTGTTCTGGTTTTTGAAACACGGTTAAAATCAAATTGACTGGCAACCCGGTTGAAAACTCTCTGTATCCCAGTAACCTTTTGTCCATTTCGACCTTTTGTCTATTTCAACCTTTTGTCCATTTCGACCTGTTGTCCATTCGACCTTTTGTCAATTTCGACTCTAGGTTCAATTCGACCTTTTGTCCCTTTGATCTATTGTAATTCAATCTTTTGTACTACAAACCATTTTTCATGTCGTTAAATTTGGAACGCTACTGTGAAAAGAAAAAACAAATTGCTCAAATTGAACGATCCACTGCAAAGAACTTCCCGTAGCCTGACAGCTGCATGGGAAAATCGTCTAATTATCGCCCTCCTCAAGTAGACCTTTCTACCACCGCGCGTTCCAGTGAGCGTCAGGTGGTATCACACTGCCTGACTTCCTTGATTTCTTGAACCATCCACTTTGCACTTCACTAGCGCAGTCAGTCAAGTTGGTGTGCAGCGGGCATAATCTGAAGGTGACAAACAAACCGACTGACAGACAGAGATCTAACAAGTGGGTGAAATGTGCATTATTCCCCCCATCATCAGCACTCGAAGCGTGGGATAAGAAAACATGCGCGCACATATAGGACTAATGTGCAAATTTTAAAATATTTTTGTATGTTCTCAACTCACAAAGTGTCATCCGGTACGCTGCAAGTCGACGGCCCTAGGCATGCAGATTATTCAATCTCGAACGCACATTCCTCGCTCATCCTTCTTGGTAACCTACCAGAGATGCTTTTGTTCTCGAGTGAATGACACATTACCCAGTCTGGGTGCTAAAAATGTTCACTTTGTTTTTGTTTTTGTTTTGATGGAGGAATTTTTGCCGACACACAAAATTCATTCGTTGGAATTTTCGTTCGAAAATGTTCTATCTCCCATCAGTGTTGCCAGAACGTTGTTTGATCATTTGACATTTGATCCAGCTTTAGCGGTGATCGCCATGACACTTTCTTCGTCACACACAATCGATCATCGCCGATCCTACAATTAACAATTAATGTAAATTTATGTCTTTCACTTCCTTTCAATAGGTTCAGAGACACGTTTGTTGCTATATCGCTCATCTTTCTTTCACCGACCGTCGCGTCGTCGTGCCGATCATCATCGCACATGATTTTTGCATTGTCAGACAAGCGACTTTACGGCGATGGCGGAGACGACGACCGCTACAAAAATAAAATAAGAAACACATGTTGCAGTTCCAAAGCGGCAATTAAAATAATCGCGTGCGCGCTTGAATGCTTGATCAATCAATTTTCACATTCAACTGTGGCGCAGCCGGTTTCCCGTATCATAGTAACCTGTTTTCGGTGTGTTGTTTATGTTGCGTGATACGTCACTTTGTTGAGATTAACCAAACAATTTGAAGGGGTCGGTTTGATTTGAAAACTTGTTTCCAAAATGGTGGGAATTTGTTAATTTTTGCCTTTCTTGAAACTGGGCACAGTTTTTAAAATTACCTTAGGTATGAAAATAAAATAAAAAATAACAACAATGTTAATTCGATTACAGCTATCGTGTCGCTGTCAATTGTGCGCGACTTTCTCCTGTCGCATTCAGCTCAATTATCAAGCAATCTGGAGATGAGTTTCAATTTCACTCTCATGGCGCGACCATCATCGTCGTCGTCGTCGTCGTCGTCGTCGTCGCCAGAGTCAGATCGGAGATGACAGCAAGCGGTAATTAAATCAAAGATGCGACGACTGCGACGCAACATGACACTGGATGCCATCAGTGCTTGAGATGTAGGCCTGCCCACACACATAAGATGATGGATTAGAAGAGCACTAGGAGAAAGGCTTCCTGTCCTGTCTGAGTGTTGCCACTTTCCGCCCCCCCCCCCCTCTCTCTCTCTCGTCTGGAGCCTCCGGGGAGTCAATTACGGCTGTCGAGTGGCTTGTAGTTCAGATTTTTACGGCTTACTACCCACAGGGGTAGGACCGCTTCGTTGTGGTTTACCAGCTTGTTTAGGTGGATAAGACCGATAGATTTGTTAGCTGCTAGATTATTACTTTCTGATGTCAAAGTTTGTACGAAAAAAAGTTGTTAAAGTGTTGTAAACAAACTTTCCTAAACTATTCAAAATATAGCGCCTCAGGTAAAAGTATGGACGGCTGACATGCGATAAATTTAGTGAACTATCTAATATCGAGTTATATTCAAAATCATTGGAAGTGAGTTGGAGGGAGCTTTGGACCGCTGTGGCAAATGTAACGCAGTTTCATCAATACCACCCTCCAAAGTTAGACAATTTCTGTAGGACTAATTTGTTGAATGCCCAGCAGCTTTCTGCTACTCCCATCGACAGTACCTCAAATTATGTCAACTCTACAGCCCTTGTATGGGAGGCCAGAGCAAATCGTGCATCACATGTCTACCAAAGTTCGTGCCACTCCCGCACCAAGAGCAGACAAGCTGGAAATTCTAAACAGTACAAGCACCTACAACCAGGCTTGCTGAAACTCCACAAACTCACTGGAGGTTTTAAAACACTCTTGAATATGGAAGAAGTAATCAAAAACTCCTCGAGAGGGAGGGAGAGTGAAGTTCAGCGAACGCGAAGAACGCGAAAATTTGGTCCGTGGTAACGCAGACACCCATGAATCCCGCCTGGTATTGCGCCACGAACTCTCTTGAAAATGGTGACAGGCGGCTATTGGAGAGATCAACCAAGCTAAAGTGAAGTACCTTACGATGAACTGTTAGAGCGGTTTTGAGCGATTGCTGGGGATATCTTGGTAGCCTGGCGAAGATGTCTCGACCTACAAGGAGAGCTTGAAGAACTGGCAAAAGGTGAAAGAGTGTCCACCAAACGGATGATGTGCAGTTATTTAAAGGGTGTCCACGATGAAATTGCCACACACAAAATTGATTAGCAAAATTCGAGTTTTCATCCGATTGCCATAAAATTTTCAGGGATTGAGAAATAACTATTAAACTTCATTTTACCATTTTACTCGTTTTTTATTTACAGTCTATACGCAAATGCTCGCACCTTGGCCTTAACCCCGGCCATAAGATTCTGCACAACCTGTGAATCAACCGTTTTTTGCATGTAAACCCATACTTTCTTCAGTTCCTCGACTGTCTTCACTACCTTAGGTCGTTTAAGAAGGTGCTGCTTCATAATCGCCCAGTACTTCTCGATGGGGCGGAGCTCCGGAGTGTTGGGAGGGTTGAACATTTTCGGCACGAAATTGACCTTATTGTCCGCATACCACTTCAGCACGTCCTTGGAGTAGTGGCATGAGGCCAAATCCGGCCAGAAGATTGTTGGGACGTTGTGGGCCTTCAGGAGAGGAAGCAGCCGCTTCTGGAGGGACTCTTTTATGTACACCTGTCCGTTCATCGTGTCCTGGGTCACGAAAGGTGCACTCCGCTTCCCGCACGTGCTTGCCAAACCAGGAATTTCTTCGCAAATTTGGACATCTTCTGAGTGCGGACATGCTCCGGAACGCTGAACTTATCCTTGGCCGTGAAAAACAGGTTGCCGGGGATCTGTTTGAAGTCGGTCTTCACATATGTTTCGTCGTCCATGATGCAGCATTCAACTTTCGTCAGCATGTTGAGGTACAACTTCCTGGCACGGGTTTTGGCGGACTTGTTCTGCTTCTCGTCGCGATTAGGGGCCTTTTGTACCTTGAACGTTCGAAGCCCAGCCTTAGTTTTGGCCTTCTGGACAAAACTTCGGCTTAGGTGCAGCCACATCCCTAACGGAGGCGTTCGGATTTCGGTTGAAGGCCCCAACTACGCGGTTGTGATTTTTGGTGTTGTACGGAATACTTTTTCCTTCACTTCTGGGCTTCCGATCGGTGGTCAACCGTTCCTCGAACCGCTTAATCACTCGCGACACCGTGGAATTCGCGATTCCCAACGTTTTAGCGATGGAACGATGCGAGAGATCCTTGTTCTCGTGATGAATGCGCAAGATTTTATCACGCACGAGCTGTTTTTTCGACTCCATTTCCGCGAGTTTTGATCACAGGACTTTAAAACTTGCAGGATGTAAATAATGCACTATGAACTAAATCCACCCAAATTTTCATTAAATTCTACCCAACGGTTAAAAAGTTAGAGCAATTTCATAGTGTGGCAATTTCATCGTGGACACCCTTTAATGAGAATTTACGATTCGTTAGGGCTGGTGGGTTCGCTGGTGATCTAGGGACAAGTATTAATACAGTACGTGTGGAAAAGTAAATGGGAATGGATCAACAGATCCTTGAAGAAATTGTCAGGCGATGTTACTTCCCTAGGTACGATCCTAACTGCTACGATTCATTGGAGCTTCATATTTTTGTGGATGGTAGAGCACAAGCATATTCTGCTGTCGCTTACTTTCGAGTACGTGACCGAGGACAGATACGATGCTCATCTAGAGAATAAAAATCGATATTCTACGCCATTTTGAAATCCAAGATGGCGGCTTCCAATTCAAGAAAAGTAGGATGTACTGTCAAATACCGATCAATATGGGTATTTTTGGAATTGGGGTGGCGTTTAGAGATTGGAAATATATATGCGAAGTCATTTTTAAATCCAAGATGGCAGCTTTGGTTTAGAAAAAGTTTTTTTTTTTTTTTTTTTTTTTTTTCTTTATTTAAGATATTTTTAGCCTTAGGCTAGTTCATCTCTAATTTAGAAAAAGTGTGAAATACTGTCAAATACCGATCAATG